TTACCGGAGGAGGGCGGAGGGACGGTGACCTCTAGCTGAGGGAGGAGCTGCTGGGAGGACGGAGGAGGCGGGTGGCCAGTCCTCGAGGAGGGGCGGTGGCTAGTCAGAGCGAGGGGGGGCGAGTAGAGGGAAGGGCGGTGGGGCGTTCAACGGTTGGCGTCGAGCCCCAGCCCTCGAGTGACCGCGCGGCCCGCGAGAACGGGGCCGCGCGAGAGCTTGCAGCTTCGCGGCCGGCCAGCCCCAGCGAGCGCAAGAGAGGAGCGCGGGTCACTGTGTCTCCGAGAACTTGTTCCTTACCGTAGGCTCTACACGTTTTAAGTGTGCGGTGCAGGACACAGCTTGTGATATAAAGAGCGCCTTCAGGACATATACGAGAGTCTCGCTCAACCACAACGCACGACACCCTTCGGGGACCGGCCAAACTGCGCCGCCCGTGCGCGCGGCGCATTTGGACACCCCCACCCGCGACACGCCGAGTTTTCTCTTTTTCTCACGTGGACTTCAGGGACGCGTTCGCAAGCTGTGCAGTTGCCGATAATACCGCGCCTTCGTCGCCCTCTTCGCCTGCGGCGCGGCGAGCCTCGGTGACACAGCGCTCGACCAATGCGTCGAGCGCCGCCGCCCCCGCGTCTGCGCCGCCGGCGCCGAGAGAGTTTAGCTTCCGCACGACCTTGCCGAGCGAAGTGCTGTAAGAGGCGACGCCATCGGCGTCGTCCTCGTGCACGAGCGCACAGACGAGCGAGTCGACGAGCTGGCTCGCCGCCTTTGCGCCCGCGCTCAGCTGCTCGGCGAGCCGGCTCTGGCCGGAGTCTGCTGTGCTTCGCACCGCCGCTGCGCGCGACGCGTGCACCGTGGAGAGCGTGGACTCGAGGAGCTGACGCACGGCGAGGGCGAGGGCGGGCTGGTGGATGAGCTCCTCCTCCTCCTCCTCGCCCTCGCCCTCGCCTTGCTCGCCCGCCCCCTCCTCGACAGCCTCGAGCAGCTCCTGCAGCGCGTCACGCATCAGCCCCTCCTGCCGCTCAATCAGCAGCACCGCCGCGCTCCCGGGCTGCCACGCCAGCCGCCCGACGGCGTCGACCGCCGCCTCCAGCCTTCCGACGTCCGATGCCTGAGCCTGCCGCGCCGCGGTCTTTCTGAGCAGCTGCGCCGCGCACCGCAGCACGTCAGCGCACGGCGAGGCCGCTAGCTTGTGCACGACCCCACCGCAGAGCGAGAGGAACAGGCCTGCGCAGGTCGCGTACACCGCAGCGTGCCGGTCCAGGTCGGCGATGCACGCGACCGCTTGTGTCTCGGGTGCGTCGAGGATGTCAAACAGGTGCAGCGCCCGCGCTTGCTGGGCCAGCGACGCAGCCGCGCTGCGCGCGTCACCGTGTGCACGTCCAACATCGCCGATGAGGGACTGCTCCGGCTTCGCCCGGAGCAGCTTGGAGGCGGCGTCGAGCTTGGACGCGGTGTCGCTCAAGCGTTGTGAGGTCATCGGGGCAGGCGTCGTGGACCTTTGCGCAAAGAATTCATGGAGGCCCACGTGCATCCCTTTGTGCAAGGCGGCTAGGGATGAGGCCACAAAAGAGGCGCGCGAGGCAAGGAGGAGACGCGGGGAACTGATAGACTGGGACGACTGGAAACAAGAAGACAGTGAGCCACCACAGGCGTCGTTGGCGCACATACTGAGCGGCAGCTGCGCTGGAAATAAGGAAGAGGCGCGTCACTTCATGCGGAAGCTCGACAAACACACAGCGAGGGCGACAGCAAGAGTTGAACGGGAGGCGCCGGACTCAAAAGACACCGCCACATTCCTGAGACGAGCGAGGGCAGCCTCCTTAAAGGCGAAAGGGTCTAGATTTGGAGCGCTCGCCGAAGAGGAGTACGACAAAATAGCGCCCGTGATTGCCTGCACGCTACCCGCACTCACGGACTCCATACCCGAAAGAAAGAGAAGGGAGCTCGCGGGAGAGGTGACGAGTGAACTACAGGTAGTGGGGAAGGCAGCCTCGATTGCCATACAGACATGGGTGCGAAACAACGACAAGACCAAGGCACGGGCAGAGGAACGAGAGAAGAATATAGGGTGGATAAAGCGCCTGTTCACGGCATGGAGGGTGAGCCACACCGAACGTACCGAGCGAAGAGCCGAGCGGAAGGAGGACGGGGAAGATGACTCCGAGGAGGACGAACCAGTGGAAATCCAGTTGTCAGATGTCACGATGCATCCGAAGGGGACCCCAGCGCCGGCATCATCCGTAGAGGCACGAGTGTTCGAAGAGAGAGTGGACCTGAGCAACAACATGACCTGTAGGCAAATGATCGGAGTGGGAGTCAGAAATGTGGTCCTTGCGCGAGGGGAGCTCGATAGACTCGAGGGGCCAGGATACGCCGCGAGGAGGACGGAGTTGCGCCGAAAGGCGAAAGAAGCCGCGAGAACAAGGGACCGGCAGGCGGCGGCGTCGCAGGACGAGGCAGAAGAGAACGACGCGACAGAGGAGGAAGTGACAAGGGAGAGAACGACGAGGGTGGGACGACCGCGAGGTGGCATGAAGGTTGCAGCGAGAATCGGCGAGAGACTGCGAAGAGAGATAGGAAGAGGCAGACTCCCTAGGGTGGGCGACGGATAGCGCACCACACACCTCTCCTTAAAATCCCTGTGTGGTGGCGGCGTGCCGTCCTCCCATCCCTCCCTTGGGTTGTCTGTTTTCTTTCTTTCTTTTTTGCGCAAAGAATTCATTGATGCGCACGTGCATCCTGTGAACGGTTTGAGGCAACCGACCAAAAGCATGTTGGTATGGTCCGAGACTGGATCCCATGTACACGGGACTCGAAATATTTTGCTGGCCGCACGTCCATCCTATTCCGTCCTCCCATCCCTCCCTTGGTTGTCTGTTTTCTTCTTTAAAAGCATACTTAAAATGATACGGGACGCGGCACAAACGGGACTCTCACAGTGATTTGGGCTCGGCAGCTTGTTAGCCCTCAGCCGAAGCTGGGGCCGGTCCCGTAGCCGAGAGAGCCCGCGCCGATGAGTTCGACGCGGTCGGGGGGGCCTGCGAAGAGGCCAGCGAGGTGGCGATCGCTGTACTTCATGGGGGTCATCAAGTGACCGCGACTGACAAGCCAGAGGTCGATACTCTGGGCGACCCATCGGATGCCACGAATGCCTGAAGGAGAGGGAGGCGAGGCCAGAGGCAGGCTCAGCTGCTCTCGGGTGATCCCGCTTTGGTGGCCGAAGGACCCGATGGTCCTGTCACATTCGTTCGTGGGGTCGCGGGGGTAGAAGAATTCGAGGTAGAATCGAGTCAGCACATCCTTGTAGTACAGCGGACCGCCAGGCTCGCCGGCAGCATCCACAGGGAGGCAGCATATGAGGCACCAGTCTTCTGGAGAGCTCAACAGCTGCGGCCACGATGGTAGAGTCGGCCGCGGTTCGAGCGAGCAGCTTTTGGCTGCGGGATCGAATCGCGGAAGGCTCATGCCCTCGCGGAGCGCGCGGGTGTGCGAAATGCGACAAAAGACGACAGGCCTTTTATTTCTTGTTGGTCTTTAAAAATCTCTCTCTCAAACGGGGCACAAACGCCAGGCTACAAAGACGGGGAGGGAGGCACGTAGTATCCCTCTCTTGGGCTGTCTGCAGCCCTTCGAGTTCGCGCGGATTTCGCGAACTCCGAGCCGGCGAAAAAAGAAAATTATCGTGAGTTCGTTCGTTAGCCACGGTCGCGCTGAACGAACGAACTCGCGCAACTGCGCCACGTGCGCGCGTGCGGACGCGGTCTGGCCCTCAATCTCAGGTGCCCATATACACAGGCGGCACTAGCACAGTTCTGACGGTCCGCGACAGTATGCAATCTAGCGGACTACGGGCGCGACTACCCCGGTGCGCCGCCGCCCGCCGCGGACCATTGAAGAGGGGGGGACCCGCTCAGCCTCGACGCCTCCTCGCTCACGCCGAGATGGCCACTAAGGAGGCAGCTGAGGCAGTGGCGGCGGCGGCATTGGCGCTGGAGCCGACGGTCGCCGATTCCGAGGTCTGCTTCCCCACCTCATAGGCACCGCCCCATCAAGCTGATCCTTGTCCACCCTCCACAGGACTACGGGTCCGGTCTGCTACCCCTACCCCTTCCCCAGCTTTTCTTTCTCGGGCAAAAGAAATTTCGTGTGGCTAAGACAAAGAATTTACCACTTCCCTTCTCAGCTCACCGGCCCTGGATGTGAGGTTGCCGACTGCACTCCAAGTGCTCCAAGTGCTCCCTCTCACATGCACATGTACATGTTGTTGTGCATGTGCATGTGCAGCGAGTGACTGCCCGTCACGCGGCTCACGCGATAGGTTGCTCAGGCGGCTCACGCCAGCCTCGTCCCTCGAGCGACTCGCGCAGCGCGGCTCTCGCGGCATGGCGACTCACGCCACCCCTGCGGATCACCCAAACTGGGAGTAGGGGCTGAGTGCCCCTCTCAGGCGACTCACCCCACTTTTGCGGCTCACGCAAAATGTTCGCGCCAATCTGGCGGCTCGCGCGGTTCGGGAGCAGAGGGCTGTGAGAGAGAGTTGTTTTGAGGCTGTGTGCCCCTTCCTGGCGGATCACGCCACCTTTGCGACTCACACGCGGCTTACGCGGCCTGGCGACTCTCGCCACTTTGAGGCTCACGCAGACTGGGAGCAAAGCGGTGCCCCTCCTGGCGGCTCACCGGCCCTCCTCGCGGCTCACGCGGAGGCGCTTGCGTTCCGGCAATCAGCCAATGAGGCAATGTATACTCACGCTCATGGGTCGCCGCGCGGGAGAGCGGAATCTACTCTGTCGAAACGTCTTCGGCGAAAGGAACGCACGTCAACTTTTAGTGGTCCGCTTTCGTGTCTGTCTGGCGTCCCTGGGACCTGTCGTTTGGGTGAACCCTCTGCCCCCAGCCCCCCTCCGTGTCGCGATGCGCTCCCCGCTCCCGTTCCCCTGTGTCCCTGATCGTCCTTCAAAAATCCTGCTCGTGCAAGGTGGGGGCCTTGTCATCCTCCCATCCCTCGTTTGGTTTGCCTGCTTTCTTTCTTTCTTTCTTTTAGGCACGGGAACCGGCGCGCAGCACTGGCACTAACTCAGGGTACGAAGAAGAATTTTAGAAAGATCACGACGCACTGCCTTGGGAAGAGGCAGACGCCCAAGGAAGGCGCCAAGCAAGGGTGGGAGCGGCCGCACACTGCTCGGTACCCCCCCTGCACATCTAAAGCCATGGCCGACCCCCCCCCGCCCCCGGGA